CACGTTGCTTGCGCGACATGTCTTTTTCATGCAAATCACAATGGAATAGCGGCGCAAACTGACACGTGACACATCCATGAATAGTCCCTTGCAAAAGCTTCCCCCAATGGCAGCGCCTTAGCGCTCTACCGCGAACAGTTGCGGACGGTTGCGAACGGTTGCGGACGTAGAAACAACGGATCGCGAACAAGGCTCTACCCCCAGACCCCCAAGAGTTAAACGAGAACCCTTCGCTACGCATTCGGGAAAACCCTGCTAACCAACCAACCAACAGCCACCTGCCAGCGGCGCCAGCAGCAACCAACCAACTGACCACAACGTAGCATCCCTTTTGTCGGCCATCCGAGGATAAATTTTAGAATAGGAAGGAGCCATTACAACGATTTACATCGTAGCATTCCTTTGATGGGCCATTCGAAAGTAATTTTTAGAAAAGGAAGAAGCCATTGCAACGTAGCATGCCTTTTGTGGGCCATTTGAAGGTGAAATTTAGAATAGGAAGGAGCCATTACAACGCAGCATTAGTTCAAATTCGACTCGACGATAATTTTTACACCCCGGGGGGGGAACCAGTTCGAGTTCGAGTTCGAATTCCAATTGACGACAATTTTGACACCGGGGGGGGGGACCAGTTCGAGTTCGATTCGAATTCGAATCGACGACAGCGATTTTGGAGTTCGACTCTTTCTATTCGTCCACTGGGTTGACTTCTAACAGTTCCAGTTCGAGTTCGAGATCGAGTTCGAGTTCGGTTCCTTCCATGTATCCTTTCAAGGTTAAGTTCATCAATACTGTATAACTGTTTCAGTTCGAGTTCGAGTTCGAGCGGGGCACACTATGGATCTTCTAGATTCTTCTAGTATGTTTGACAGATTGATTGATTGCTTCAGGTTACCAGATTGATTGCTTCAGTCTAGAGTTGGCCATCAGCTTGGGGCTGCACATCCCAGTGATCCTCTGTGCCCATCCCACTGGGGGCTATAGATCCCCCTTCGTCTGATCCTGAAACCACTGTACTGAGCGAGGCTCAGTTGTGCAACACTGAAACACCCAAATCTGCAGGCAGCCAGCACATCTCAATCAGTGGTTTTTGAGACAGTAGAACACCGTGAAGCCTTCGAGCTAAAACGCCTAAAACTCCTTCGCTCATACAAGAAAAGGCATGATATGAACTGCTCAACCTACAGTAACTTCGCTGTTTCAAAAGCTGTTGCGTTTGTGCTATAAGCTCAGTGAGTAAGTACTTAGAAGAAGTACAGTAACATGAAAAGCACCTGTGACTGGACCCCAGTAAATTGCAATCTGCTTCCACTGGACACATATCTTGTGTTGCAAGCTGTTGTTGGCTGTATGATCCACCTGAAACCACACTCTCGAGTGTAGCCTTCATCAGCCAGCTGCTCGTCCTCTTCCTCCTCTCCTTCATTGCCCCCAAGTTTGGTGCAAACTCGTTCCAAGTGAACGTGGACAACCAGGCTGCAAGCAGAGTGTATGAAAGGACATCCAATAGTATTGGTTATTGTGTCCAAAGTTGTCCAAATCCCCTGTTTCAGAGGCCTGGAGGGAGACCTGAGATCCAATCAAAAAGTAGAACGAAGCAAAAGGGGAAATGAACAGTGCTCAGCTGCCCTACCAACGAAACTTTGGGTTATGATATCCCTTACTCGATGTCTTCCAATCATGGCCTTATTAGCAGCTTCATGATTTGACTCTGACATTAACAACAATCTGGAAATTATATACTATGGCTGTGACCCATCTCAGCATCTTCATTCTCGACCTGCATGGATCTGGTCACACTGATGCCTGTTCTTGCCAAAGATGCTGGACACTTTGGAACGTGGAAAAGTGTGGAAACGTCAAACTGTGTCAGTCTGAGCTATGGCTCTAGCAGTTCCTCCTGGAGCTGGAATCTTGCCGCCACCTCGAAGTTATGTCATCTGAAACAAGCCGCAAACAGGTATCCAGAATCAGGAATGACTATCGCACGGTATTGTAGACTAGATTGGAACAAATCAATTGTTCGTGCAGTGTGGTCTCTGTCTGAGTTCTTTTGCACTTTTGCAACTTCACTCTGAGTCGTTCGCCAACACTCTTTTGTCTTGGTTTGGAAGCTGCATCTTTCTTCTGCGCCTCAAGTTCCTGCGTGAAGCCACAGGAGCCCAACGCCAACAAGATTTAACATGTTGTTTCAACATCTTCTCCTGCATCCTGGTGGAAGGCGTGCTTATTGAATAGCATTGACCACATATGACGAAAATGTTGATCTTATTCGCAACTCAGGGACACTCATTGATTCCAAGGGACAGTGCTCATGGTCCTTTCACTCTTAAAGTCTTTCTGTATCAGGTTTGTCAGTCACAAGGAAATTATCCAAAAACGTAAACTCTCGGAAGCCATATTTTGCAAAAACAAGAGTTTCAGACCTGCTGAAAGTGAGAGTTGAACAAGGTCGAGCTTGCATTTTTCAACAAACCATGACCGCTTTCTTCTAATAATTGCTGCGTTCATTTTGCTTGTCATGGTGGGCAACGTTTTGAAGCCCTCCTTTCTCTGTGATCCCTGAAAACAAGCTGGAAAAATTGAGTCTTCCACAAGAGTCCTCGATTGATGGCCACGTTTGCTCTGCCATGGTAGGATCATAGGGCTGCAACCTACTGCATGTGCAGCTATCTCCAAATTTTGTTCCCAATGAAGATTCAAAAACAGTAAAGCCAAGCTTTATGTACCCTTGAGTCGTCAAGTACAGCAGCTCACATCGGTCACTTACAAAGTTGAAACATAGGAGCTGTCTCCTATGACCTCCTAGTTGTATCTACGTATGCATCTATTTGTGGCTTTAGTGCTCTCAAGAAATAATGTTTAATATCGCAAACACAGGAATTGGGCTCTGCCTTTGGAGATCCAGCTGCTGGGTACCTCCAAAGTTTTGATACAGTATCTGTCAAAAGTTGCCATGTGCATACATCCAACACGGGTGCAGCTAGATAGACTTGAGACATGGTAGGGAAAGGTAGTGACCTGCAAGCGATTTCTTTTGGACTGCAATGAATATCAATGATGTCAGTTCTGTCCTGACATGAGCTTTGTAATCTGCCACCTTTCGTCCATATTTTGCTACGCAAAAGGCGGGATCTCTTGTCCCACTTCTCTTGCGTGCATTGTTTATGTGCAACCCTCAGTGTGTAGAAAGAAGCAATATGTGACATATGAGCCTGTGCTCAAAGGTGTGAGCATGAGCATATCTCCCTGAGATAACTTGCAACCAAAGCATATTCAAATTGTCAGATTGGTAGGATCAATTGCGTCAGCATCATGAGGAAACATCTTCTCATCAACGCTATCCTGACAAACAATCCAATTTCAGAAAGTTGCAGCAAAAGACTGTTGTAGTTGTAGGCTGTAAACACCTATATAAATAACATTTGGACGTCACGCTATTTAGTGCAAAATTGACTAAATACGCAAGAGAATTAGGCATGCAAACGCTGAGAACTGTTTTGGCCAATGGGCTGCAGAGAAGTCTCCAAATTGATGTCGTGCTTGGCAACCTCGAACCTCGAGATCGGTGTGGACGTGCTGGCGAGCCGCTCGGCAAGCCCGTCAAGTGGGATGAATCATCTTCAAGGACTTCACGAATCCCTCAAAGCCTCGATGACCATGTTAAATTTGCAAAGCCTTTCTATTCATTCTATTCTGTGTGACTAAACATGACTCAATGAACTCAGCGATGGCAGCAAAATTATTGAGCAACTGTTCTTGTCGAGAAAACATATACATACTTTTGAATTCAAGCATGAGCCTTGCTCATCATCCGCAAACTTGCCACTTCCGTTCTCATCGAAGCAAGCCTAGTAAGTATCCAAAACCCACGGAAACAGCAAACAAACTTGTTTGCGCTTCATCAAACAACTACTATACACGATTGAAGCCAAGCAAAGCCAAAGCTCTTAGAGTGGTTTCGCATTAAGAATACCGACCAGGAAAGGCTGCTTAACGCTGTTTCCCTCTTCAGGGCTAAATCAAGCTTGGGGTCGGAATATTCAAAAATCGCATCCAATAACAGCAACCATGACTCGTTGCTACTCACCATGCATGTCTGTTGCACCTCCCTGAAGTCTTTGGGCTGAATAACAAAGCCGCGGAATATATCCTGGGATGTAAAATGATGTAACTGTCATCTTCCACCACAAGTACATGCCTCCTCTGCACAGTCACTGCAAAGACAGCAATGACGTATGTGGGTACTTTTGCAGTTTCGCGCGTATAAATCTTGGCATCTGCTCCTAATACCGACAAATGGTGTCTCATGTACACAGATCAAAGCGCTGTATATCGGCATAACCAAGTGTTTCAAACCATCTGAATCTCACCCCGTGTCTCAAACTAGAATAAAATGTAACACTATACTATACTATACAGTATATGATATGCAGCATGCACGATTCATTTAATTAAGTTTAACAGTTCAACTGAGAATGGGGTTATTTGTGCACCGGAGAAGGGAGGAGACAAAAAGCCAGGTCAGGCAGGCAGGCAACCTCCGCGTCTCTATCTATCCTATCTTATCTTATCCTATCCTGTCCATTCCTATCCTATATATTTATCCATTATATACTCCTCGCTCTATCTCTCTATCCCACTATCCCTTTGTCTCTCTAGCTCTCTGACTCTACTGTAACTATCTCTCTCTGTGCTTTTCTCCAGCCACCAATCCACCCAACCGTTCGTCCAACTAGGCATCCATCGACCTATCGACTCTACACACATCTATCATCTATCCACATCTACTTATCATCCTTTTATATCTAGCCACATCTACTTGACAATATCTCTATCTCTCTGTCTCTATCTCTTCAGATTCTCTCTCTGTCTGTCTCCCTCTCTCTCCCTCTCTCTCTCCTCTCTCTCTCTGTGTCTCTCTCTCTCTCTCTCCCTCTCTCTCTCCCGCTCCCTCTCCCTCTCCCTCTATCTATCCATCCACCCACCCATCTAGACATCCCTCAACCTACCCACAACTACACTCAAAATGCAAATCATGCAAAAAAAAAAGGCCAAAAAGAGTGTCGTGTTAAACCTGGCCTATCGGCTGGCTTGCGTGATCTTGGTCACGTTGACCATCTTTGAGGTCGTGACTGACTTTAACGTGCATCAAAACGCACCAACTGAGCACGGTCTGTCCACCAAGGATCTGCCCATGCCTCATCATCCCCCCAAAAGCCTGCCAGAGGATCACCGGCGACTTTTGGAAGATCAGCAATGTGGCGAGTGATGATCCACACCTCAAATGGCAGCTGCAGTAGCTTCCTTCTCAATTCTCTTTCTCCAACAATGTTGCTTCGATTCGTTTGGGGTCGTTTATGTTGTAGAATAGTAGAACGACATAATCCACCGACCCCGGCTTGAGCAGGGGGAGCGCGTAAGAGGAGCACGCGAGAGCAAAGGGATTGCGCGATGGAATCGCTGCACGGCCTCCAAATGGCCGAAGCGACGGCCATCCGCTTGAAAGTGAGTTAGACGCTTTCGAGACCGGTTTTTGTGTGGCAACAAACACATTAACGGTGTGGCGAAGCTTGGCAGCAAGACGTTTGAGGCCGTGGAGGAGGTGACATAGAGGTCCAAGCCAGGGAGAGAGGTCGGACGCGACTAATAAGCAGGTTGAGCATGGATCGTCTGCAATGCACCAACACAAGCCGATGCAAACCTTGAAGCACAGGAGCACCTTTGCGGTTCAAGCAAGCATTTGGTTCCACTGGTTCCACCCTTATCTAAAGTCAATCATTTGAGCAACAGAAAACAGCTCATAGCAGCTCATATTGGCTGTTGAATTTGTGCACTTCAAGGACTAAGCCGCATCGGTCTCATTGATCTTGTCCAGTCGGCTCAAGCAAGCCTTACAAAAAGGTCATCAAAGTCTGCGCGTTCAAGAGAACTTGCTATCATGACCTGAACTCAGAACTCTTACGATGTGGCTAGTTGATACTGATGGTTCCACCAAGCTGATAATTTGAGTTGCTACTCAAAATCAACGAGAATGACTTCCTTGTGGGTTAAGACTGAACTGAACAAAAGGTATCAAAAGGCTGACCATTTTGCATCTCTGGTGTTAGGCAACCTCAAGGGCCTTTTGGGCTGCTGGCACGGGTGGAAGCTCTCCAAGCACAGCCAGAAGCAAAGCACTCTTGCTTTGAGGCCAACGACTCTTTAGCAGTGCCCTGACAAGAAACTTGAGGACTTAGCATTTTAGGCTTTGCATTGCTTTGATGTTGCGATTTCACAGCTCAAGCTTTGGGGCTTTAACTTTGACTTCTCAGATTTGGGGCAAGGTACAAATATGTACAAATCCATTCTGCAGCTGTTTAACCAAGAGAAAGACACCAGCTTTCGTTAAGTTAAGAGCGTGCACTTTCCAGAAACCACCCCATTGCCTTAGGCGTGCTGCTTCCACTGGGAGGCGTTTTGCCACGTTCATGAAGTGCTTGGCACTGCTCAACTCTCGCAGCCTGAATGAGAGGAAAGCACAAAAACATGCAGGAGCCACACTAAAGGACTAGACTAGACTAGCACTAGCTCGGAATTGTCCAAATCGCCAAGCACAAGCTTGACTGGAAAGGGCCTCTCAACTTCAATCTCCACGGGCATTCTAACATTGTCCATGCCAAAACAACTAGTGTAAGAGCCCAGCAAACAAATTGAACAACGAACAAGCTCTCACACTTGGCAGCCTAAGCGTGTAAAGAAAGAGAACTCGATATCCAGAGTTCAACAGCGCCAGAAAGCGCTGTGCTCTTCGATGGTAGGTCTCTGCAACCGCGGGCTCACGAGGGTCATCGTGGATGTGCGCCTTACGTCTTGCACGAGGAAACAGAAGGTAAGGTCCAGGCCCGCAAACCAAGTGTTTTAAGCTGTTTTACACGTTTTTTCCTCTCTGTCCGAACGGAGCGCCCACAAACCTGAGCTGTTTTGGATCGGCAAAAAATATGACAAGTTGCTGATGGTATGAACTCTGGGTCGGTAAAGCCAGCATTTCCCACAGCGTTGATGTGTGGCAACGGGGTCATGGTTGACACAAAGTCAAGGAAAGGAGGCTCTCGTTTCAATGACTCCTGAGCTGTGCGGCGGTATTTATTTGGTGCTAAACAACAAAAACACGATCCATTATGTGGGGGCCCTATCTCGTTTAGACTACTTAAGTATGAGGTCATGTCACAATGATTATCTTGTTCAGACTACTTTTGTAGCAAATCACACTATCTCGTTCAGACTACTTTAGTGTCATCAAGCAAAAGTATCTCGTTTTTGTGGGGGCACCATCTCGTTCACGAGCGAATACTGATGATAGAGCAAATAGAGCATGCCGTAGACTACTTTAGCTTTAGTAAAGCAATAGAAGTGGCTGCTCAGCTGTTTACCCAACTGGCAATCCCCCGCAAGTCGTGAAGACTCAGTGCTGTCACCAGTCTCACCGTTTCATTAAAATGTCACTTTATTGTTACTAGTAGCGATGGCCTCCAACCTAATAGCGATGGCCTCCACCTAGTAGCTACATTTCCTTACTTATGTGCTTGTGCACAGGGAAATCAAACCCTTTCCCACCTTGTTCACATTTGCATCAGGCGTCTACTACCAGCTGAAGTCCGACTGGCGATGAATGAACTGTTGACCTTAGCTATCTGCAGATACTCTGATGCAAAAAGGATACCTGTACGAGTAGAGCGCCTGACGCTCTGTCTGACATCCTTTCACCACCGTTTACCAACCTCTTTCCATTTCAAAGGCTGAGCTGAGCAAGGGACTCTTCGCAGGTCCAGCCATCACAGCCCGTCATGAGCACATCAAATGGAAAGGATCGACGCTTGAAACCAGCCTTCCGAGCATGCCCAAAACATACAACAAAGCTCGAAAGGCCGACCTAGCCTACCGTATCCAACACAGCCAGGAAATCGTCGCATGATGCCAAGCCAAACATGAGCAACAACTACTGTAAATGCACATGTGATGTGCACGCAAGAAGAATACAGTACCAAAAGCCTAGGGCCAAGGTTTTAAGCTCAGATATTGTGATATTGTCACGTTCGTTCATTTCCTGTGCTCTAGATCTCACAAACGTGAGCTCCCCTTGCCTTGGCGATCCGGTACGCGGGCAAGCAGTTTGGACCCAAGCTTACTACTGCATCAAAGATGTTGTCGAGCTTCATGGTCTCCATGGCGTGCTCTCAAGCTAACACGTGCGGCGTCTGCCATGAAATGTGCAAGCAAACCATGTCAAACTGGAAATAACATGTGCAGCATGTGCAAAACAAACCAATGCACGTGGAGGGTTGAGCGCTCTACAAACTGCAAGCCACACTAGACAGTGTCAGAATAGTTCTATATGTATATATGGATAGGGCAGTTTTGCGACCATATTGAGCACCACCAGTACCCTGACTCCTATTGTTTGGAGTGACTTGGTCTAGCCGGACAGCCAAGCGCTGTTGTTCATTCCGGTGCTACCAGTAGAATGGACGGGTCTTTGTACGGCTGAAACTTGGCATCCAAAACCCTTAGTGGATGCTTTCCATGGCTTTGTGTTGCTGAGCATAAGTAGGCTTCCGCACCTAGTTCGTCCACGACCTTCTCAGCAGCCATTGCAGCATCGGTTGAATGTCCAGAACCCTCGGGTGCGGCGGTGAATTCTCACGGGTGATCCTGCTGTGCCAGTTCAAGAACTGAGGCCAATGCTAATGGACAAGGATCACTCAGGGTGCTGATCCGCTCCACCACAAAATCCTTGCACCACATCGTATGGCGTGTTGTTCTCTTCTTGCTGCTTTGTCTAAGCAATATGAGACTCCCAAACAGTTCGTGCCATTGAATCCGGACGAAGAAAACGATATATACGATATAATCTCCCAGCGTAAATACCACTGGTTGGTGGCTGCTCAACCACATTTTCCTCGTGATTTACACAGGGACACAGCACTCTGAAATTCCACAAACTGCTGGGCGCACCCCATGACCTGTGAGGTGCACCAAGTGAGAGCACCTGGCAAGGAGTGCCCCCCTGTATTTAAAAGCCATGCCAGCAGCACCAAACACAGAACGAATCAAAAGCAATCCAACCAGCAAGTGTAAGCTGAGAGTATATATCTGAATCGCATTGTCACTGACAATTTGTTACTAGTAGCTTATTGTTGCTAATAGCCATGGCCTCCAACCTAATAGCGATGGCCTCCACCTAGTAGCGTCTTGTTACTAGCATAAAAAATGATTGAATGTTGTAAAGTTGAGTCTGGCAACACTCATTGGGCCTGAAGCCAGGCCCACGGACATACCCCTTGAGGCTCAAGGTGGCTTCATGTGGAGAATACCTGATGCCAACATACACCGTGCCACTCAGCAGAAAGGCCATGCGAGGGGTCGAGGATAAAAACATGTGCTGCATCAATAACAAGTATTTGACGGGAGCAAAAAGGGTTAAAAAAAAACGCCGGGTTGAGCACTGAACGTGTAGGCGTGAGTGTTTAGGAGCAGCAGTCATTGTCGTGTGGTACACGAAGCCTGCGCTTCAAGTTTAGTGTTGATGCTGGCACCATAGTTCGAGGTGGAATTCACAGTGGGGTTCGACGAAATCATGGTTTCGCCTCAGTGCCGTTGTCATTTTCTTGTTTCAGGGAGAGGATTCGTAGACCTCACGAAAATTTGTCGTGTCACTGGGGAGCGGGATGATTGGCAGCGCCCACGACTGGTGTTACATTGTTGTATTTATATATATATATATAGACATATTTAGTCTGTGGCACACCCAAATTCGATCCATCAATTTCCTCCGAGTGCAAGGTACACCTATGCCACGCACCTCTCCACAGAAGGTTTTCAATGAGTTCTTCACATACCTTTCTATGATACACAGTGCACCTAAAAGCTGGTAAGCTCGTGATTCCACGTTCCCGGGCCATTCGTCGAGTCTAGTTCTTCTTACATTCTGAGGTGCGTCATGCGATGACAACAAGACATCGAAAGGAACTGGCCACCTGTCCTGTTGCAACACAACGTCCAACGTGATCTGTTCCATGTAATCCCCACTACAATCAAGTGCATGCAAGGAGTCAACATATCCAATGTCAATCGTAAACCATGGTTCCAGATTCACCCGGGGACTCCCCTCACCGACAAACCGCAAAAGGATCACCAACCACAACAGAGAAAACACTTCAGTGATCTTCAGGGGGTGAACGGCATGGCCGCTTCAAACCCGAAAACTCCGGAAAGACGCAGGAATCGCAAACGGTGCGAGACGACGAAGGAATCGCGATTGGCTCGAAGTCGTCAAAAAACGAATGGGAAAAAATCATGATTCACGATGTACATAGAATCCTTCACGGTCATGGCATGGATCGTCTTTCACAAAATGATCATCGTGAAACCCACCCTCCACCCACCCGCGAATTGAAAAGTGGTGTCGACTGTCAAAGTTGAAAGCAAGAAAAGTACTGTCGACTGTCGACTACACGTTCGCAGTTCAACCCGCAGGCAAAAACTAGCATATTCCCAGTGGGTAATGAAAGGGAAAATACTAGATGATGCTGGGGACCACAGCAGCAGGGCAAAAGGATCAGGCAGTCCCCCACAAAGCAAATCAAAACACAAAGAAAACAAAAGAGACCGAAGACCGAAGGATAGACATGTTGGACACTGCAAAGTGGCCCTTCCGCAGGGGACAATAAAAGGACGTTTGCAGCACATAATCAAAAACATATTGGGCGAGGGCATGCAATGTCTGGTATGGAGATGCGATGGGTGACCTTTGAAGTATCTGTCGCGCCAGGCGCAGTGCATTGGCAAAAGTAGTGCAGATTTCGTGCGCTGGAGGGAGTTGGGGGGAGGCGCAGCACAAGCCACCAGACTCAGAAGGCACCACGAATAGATCATCATCGAAAACTACACACCCCATTGTTTGATCAAAGAGGGGCACCCAAAAGTGACACAAGGACCAAGGCAACGGGGTATTTTTTTTGCTTGACAGAGGCCGCGCCAAATTCGTAAATATGACCCTACTAGTAACAAAGGGCATCGCTACTAGGAGCAAGGACGCTACTTGGGGCTCCTGGCCTTACTACAAGGAACAGGGACGCTACTAGGGGCTCCTGGACTACTAGGGGCTCCTAGCCTTACTACTAGGAGCAAGGACGCCACGAGGGGCTGCTGGCCTTACTACTAGGAACAAGGACGCAACTAGGGGCTCCTGGCCTTACTACTAGGAATAGTAATATGAACGCTACTAGGGGCTTCTGCCCTTACTACTAGGAACAAGGACGCTACTGGGGGCTCTTGGCCTTACTACCAGGAACAAGGACGCTACTAGGGGCTCCTGGCCTTACAACTAGGAACAAGGAGGCTACGCCCTTACAACTAGGAACAAGGACGCTACTAGGGATAGTACTGGGAACAAGAACGCTACTAGGGGCTCCTGGCCTTACTACTAAGAACAAGAACGCTACTAGGGGCTCCTGGCCTTACTACTAGGAGCAAGGACGCTACTAGGTGCTCCTGGCCTGACTACTACGAACAAGGACGCTACTAGGGGCTGCTGGCCTTACTACTAGGAGCAAGGATGGTGTTGGGGCCTCCTGGCCTTGCGACTGGAAACAAGAACGCTACTAGGGGTTCCTGGCCTTACTACTGGGAGCTCCCCTCGCCATACTACGAGGAACAAGAACACTGCTAGGGGGTTCCTGGGAACAAGAATGCTACTGGGAGCGCCTGGCCTTACTAGGAGCTCCTGGCTTTACCACTAGGAGCCAGGATGCTACTAGGCCGCTACTAGGGCGCCTGGCCTTACTACTAGGAACAGGGATGCTACTGGGCGCTCCTGGCCTTACTACTAGGAATAAAAATAAGAACGCTACTAGGGGCTCCTGGCCTTACTATTCACGAAACTTGCGGACTGCGTCTGCGCTTCAGGGAGTGTGGTAAGATTGAAGTGTGAACAAATCGACAAATACTGTACAATGAAAACCTCGGAGTCAAACTAGCTAAGTGAAACCGAATATCCGCGCTGCACTTAGAATGACTGCGATGGGTAAATTCCTACTTGGCTGCAGAAAGAGTCACCGGGATTTTAATTAGGCGCCGCCGGAATGGACACTGAGTCAAGATTACCGTTGGAGTTCCATCGATTGCGAAGATTCCGTCGGTATCAGAAACGTTGCTCAAATGTAAGATCGGTTGCCTCGGGTACTGGAAATATCGGAGAGACATGCTGCATCGGAATCAGACCATCAGGATGAAAGGGTGGCTTGCAGCGCAGGTCTTCCGTATACCTAGCAATAGTACGTTGGACAAGACCAGCGTTCGGAATTTCAGGACGAAGAGGTACACCCCCTGTATAGGACCGCCCCCAACCAATCTGAGTGAGGCTGACAGATCCGATCTTTGAAAATTTTGGCAAAAGGGGAATATCTGATTATCCTTGAAGATATAACACTATAGTACGGAAGGCTTCGGCCTGTTCACGAAGAGAGCGCTTAGTAATAGGGAGAGCCAGGAGGTCTTGCCAGTGCACTGGCTGTGCACGTTTCTGATGGCTCAGTTGTAACCATGTCGGAAATTGGAGACCAGTGTTAACAACGAAAGCAAAGGTAAGCTCCAGCCAGGTTATACCGGATTGAGTAACCTGCGTGATCTGGAGGTGGATTGTCGAAGTCTGGCCACCGGAGAGCCGCGCAAAATTGGAGGACTAGGTCAGCATATTGATTTCCCCACACACAGGCTGTGACGAAGGCGGGGTGAATGGATGGTCGCAGGATAGTAGCTGGTTCTGTGGTTCGGTAGAATTCTCGGGAACGGTACATGTTCCCCCCAATCCAATGAAGTATCATACGAGTGATCAGTCGTGGGCTGGGATTGATGTTTTTGTTTATATTGAGAGTGACACAAATTAAGGTCAGCAAGGTAAGCTAAGATACGCGCTGTCTGGAGGTATTGATCGTTGTACCAAAGATCAGCTTGCCGAAATAGGGTATTTGCAAAAGCATGGTCTGTGATGAGACTTTATTTTACGAATTGTAAATTGATCAGGGTTCCAACATGTAGATAGAAGTTGGAGAAGATCTGCATTGGCTAGCCTATGCCATGTATAGGGTGGTGCGCTGGTCGGGACACTTGGTGAACCATATTAATGGCATATTGAGAATCTGTAGTAATGATGGTTTTCTGTGGCCATCGTTGTTCATGGACATGTTGAGCAATCCAGGTAATAGCGGCCAATTCAGCTCGGGCAA